ATATATATATATATTTAGCAATTTACATTCAAGATCTTTAAGTAAAAAATCCTGCTTTTCTTTCTTTTGTAACACTGGCACACTGAATACAATTATGCATTGTTTAGTGTGGACTAGGGATTGGGCATGTAGGCTTTTTCAGCTACTTCTAGAAAGCAAAAATCATTTAGGACTTACTTGGTATATTGCTAGACTGACCTAGAAATATCTAAACAAATACACATACTTTAGTTGAAAAAATATGTACATTGAAAAACTTACTCAGAAAATCAGAACGATGCAAAAGAGTGGCTGTGTGATTAATCTGTCAATGTAAAACAGTAAGTGCAATAAGGTGATTTAAAATATTACTCTGTAGAATTCCATCTCATTTCATACAAAAATAGTCTTCCACATTTCACTCATTTCTAGTCAAAATTGAAACTTAAGGTATGCTGGGAGGAGTCGTGTTTGAATGTAAGACTCGAATAAGGATAGTTGTAGGAAATGATTTTTTTTTGAGTTTTAGCTCCTCTATACTCTTATAAAATGCAGGAGCTAGAACAGTCATTGGACAAGAAAACCATCATTCTTCATACTCATCATACTTTGAACTGCATGTAAAAGCCAATTCAAGTAGTGACATACAAACTAGAATTGAGGTGTGTGTGTGGGGGGGGTAGTTTTCACCATTCCAGATGGTCACAGAACTCTGAATATTGTCCTAGGCTAACACTGCCAATTTAGTTTTGAACACCTTCCACCCACAACAGTAGAATGTATTTGTATTTCACTTAAGATGGAACAAAGTTCCTAATCATGCTTCTTTCAGCCTAAGGAAAGTTGCATAGTGTTGTGATTCTAGGACTCACGAACACATTGAGATCTTTTCCCAAAGAATGAACAATTGCCTGAAGCAGAGGGGAAAGAACTGCAACATGCTAATAACCTACAAACCAGTTAACATGCATTATATTACACCCTCTCTCATTTTGCCAAAGGAAAGTTGGAGGAGCAGCATATTAGCACAGTTGCGCATTAGGTAGATAATATACACACTTATATATATATGCATTATTGACTTTGCTCTGGTTTCAAGCCCAACAGATAATTTAAACTATATACAGTAGAATATCAGTGATTTAATCTAACAGGTCTGTTCTACAGCAGGGGCTACTCAAACCCCTGGCCTGCGGCGCTGTCATTCAGCCTGCGGTGCTTCCCATGGGTCCAGAAATTTGACAAGGGAGTGATGGCACCCTCCCTTTGCTACTAAATTTCCAGACCCATGGGGAGCCCTAGGCCCCGCATGCTGCATGGAGTACCCAAACCCAGGATGCAGTGCTGGGCAGGGGTGAAGAAGAGGGGAGGCAGTGCCGGACTCCAGGGTCCAGTCCTGGTATGGGGGAGTAGGGTGGTAGGATGGGGCCAGTGCCAGCACCCCGGGATCCAATTCTGGTTCCTGGACTAGGTGGTACTGGGCCCAGGGCCTGATTCACCTCACAGCTGGCCCTGTGGGGACAAAAGGTTGAGCACCACTTGTCTAAAGTATCTGCATTGTTATGTGACATTGTTCTAATTAAATAATAATGCCTCCCTTCTACACCATCTGTGTGAGCTAGATGGATAGAAATAGGCCCCTGTCTTCAGAACTATGTTTAACTGTAAACAGTCCTAGATTCAGAGGTCCTTACTACAGCTTTAAGCAGGTGAGGATCTGGCCTTTCCTCATTAAACCCATTCAGCAGAGCCCCACCATAGGACTGGCCTGGAATTTCAGCCATAGGTTTCCCCTGTACACTTATTTAAATGGCACATGAGCAAGGGCTGATTTTTGAGATGTAAAATAAGAGCTGAGTCTGAGCTGAATCACCAGAGCTGAAAAACTAGTACATTAATCAGTGAGCTTCTCCAGTTTGTGGAGAGAAAGGAATGACAATGACCCAAAGGGATAGTACAGTTGAACTACAACATTTCTAGCTTATCTTTGCATTCACTGAATTGGTAAGGATAAACTGAACAGGCATAATGAAACAACACAGGATTAAATGGTGCTTAAAGAGGAGGAAGGCCTTAGTGGAAAGTCAGTGGGAATAAGGAAAAACATAAATTATGAGCTCCTCTACAGTTGTGCAAAAATTCAGTTCCTTCTGGAGTCAGTGCCTTGAGGAAGAACAGAGTAGATGTCTTGATTAGCATTCCAGTGCCATGCGACTTCAGTAGTTCCTTCTGAAAGCATTCATACACTGTGTAGGTCCGTGTCTCCAGGATTTTCAGAGGGGGCAGCAGTTTTTTCACAAAATTTCAATGTTCCATTTTTGTGAACGTTCACCCTCCAGGGGATGATTTACAATGATGTAGCTCCTTTCATAATAACTGCCTCCTGAAAAAAAGGTGTTAATTGTTATGCAGATTCAGTAATAAAACAAATAGACTTAGCTGCAATTTTAATTACGTGCACTTGTATGAGCAGAGTCAGAAAATCAGCTAAGTTAAAAATCCTAGCAGAACAACTAAGTTCCCATAAAGAGAAGGCACTCATTTCAAAGCTAAGCATACTGTTTAGTTATTATATGAATCATGAGTTATAAAAATAGGACAGAAGTCTTTCCTACTTGTATAAAAAGTTTGAAGGGGTTTTAGCTATGGAAAGAGGTTTATAGTTGCTCAGACGGTATCTACAGGAGACTAAATTTCTCTCCCAAGGCTAGCTCATCTGGACAGATTGCTTTGGCCATGTCCACACTATAGTACCAATGTGTTCTAGCTGGGGTGTTCTTGAGCATGCCCTGCCCGCATGCTTCAAGCCTGGAAACACCTGATCAGGCTGCGCTGTGGTGCTCACCTATAGATGCACAAGACTTGGATCTCCAGTAGGCTTGATGGTGG